ATGATCGAAATGCAATAAATGTCATTCCATATAATGGTTCTAGAACGTGGCCGTGCTATAGTCATCGGATGCAGACAATCTTATTCTTTACAAATCTCATACATTTGAAATGTATGCAGCTAATTGGTGCAGAGTTGTGCAGTAACTCTTTTACCTGAAATGATGTAACTGCCTGCATTACTCGAGAATTAAAAGTTTCCTGACTGAACTATATGCGCATATTTCAACTGATCTCTACGAATCTGTTTTGCTAGTGTTAACTCTCGTTAAAATGAATGAAGGTACATGGAATAAAATCTTGTCGAAATTGAATATCGATTGCTTTGTTTATTTACATCCTATATCTTCTTTGCGGAGTACTACGAATTAAGGAATTTAATAGAAATAATAAATATTTTCTATATCGGTATTACTTCTTAAATTTGATTGTCACTGACCGAAATAGTATGAAAAACATCACTGACCGCAATGGTATGAAAAACTTTTAGAATAATGTAATTATAAAGTCTTGTGGCGACAAGGAAAGTTCCGAGTGGAAAACGAAGCCTGGATATTGTCAGAGACCTTTTGACCCGTCGAGTCAACAGTCATTAAGTTGTAAATAGTTTTGCGCTGGCTCAGCGGGTCTAAAAGGCCCTCGGCCCTTTCCACTCAGGACTTCCCAAAAAAGGAGAGAGTTTTTCCTCCCATCAAAAAATGTATTTTTGTCGATATTCTAGTCTCGACCACCAAAGTGAACGCAGCGCGCCTTTGTTATTAATAAAGTCTTTCGCCACTACACTATGTTGTTCATTCACGTACATCACCTCAGTCTATAAACATTATACAGGACGGCAATACGCATGCATAAGAGACATTCGGCGTACAATAAGGAATTTCATCCTACTAGTAATTAAAAATTATAATATCAAAAACATTAGCTTTAACTAATTTAATGTGTTAAAATTCCATATTGTACTTTTAACCGATTCATATGTCTTCCAAAAACCAGTAGAAATAAGCATTAGAAATGATAAGTAAACGTACGATCATAAACTTACCTGGATATCGAAGTAAGACAATTCTCTGACAAATTCAGGAGTCTTAAGTTAGTCGCATCTGAAAAAATTCTATCTGGTAATGTAATTAATCTATTGGAATTTAGTTTTAGGTAAGACAATTGCTGTAGTCCTTCAAAAATACGTTTAGGTAGCATCTCAAAATAATTTTTTTCTAAATCAATATAATCTAATGACATTAAGCCCCAAAACAGGTCTTCAGGTATCGTGCTCCAACCGTTGTGATTCAAACCTATAGCCTTCACATGTATCAAATTTCCGAAAAACTTTTGGGGCAGAGATATGTTTCTGGTATTATGCGACAAATCAATGGTCATTAGATGAGAATTTTGCTTTAGTATACCTTCTGGAAACGAGATAAAACTGTTATTACTTAACGTTAACCATGTTAAACTTTCCAGTTTTGCGAAAATGTTCTCCGGCAAAGTGATTAGATTACTCGAACTCATCTCCAGACTCGTCAAAGACGTGAGATTATAAAATAACCCAGGTTTCAATTGTTTATCTGTGAAATTGTTTATCTGCAAGCTTAACGAGCGCAATTTCGTCAGCGGATCAAATATGCCCGGCTCGAGGTGATTCATCATGCTACCACTCAAGACAAGTATTTGGAGATCTGGTGTATTATTAAAGATTCCCACAGGTAAACAGGCTTTATTATGTTTCAAATAAAGCAGAAAAAGATATGGTACATCTGCGAATATGTCGGTGCTCAAATTTGTAAGATTGCTGCTTGATAACGTAAACCTTTGCAAGTTTGGAAACCCTTTCAAATGGTTTCTGACGATGGCACCGCTCCAATTATGCAGCTGTAACTCATAGATGTTCTCCCCATTGAATGTACTCGAAATTTCACTTATGCTCGAGTTCATTGGCAGACCACATTCCGATATATCCATGGACTTTATGTGCTCCTTCAGGAATAAGTTGAACAAGTAAAATGGAGGCCATTGCGGATAATTTTGACATTTAATCTAAATAATTGAGAATGTTTTTTTATTGAAACGGATAATATTAATCTTAGTAATTTGAATTGAATAGTGTTATTATAAGTATTATAGAAATATATGATGAAACACGGATTCTGTCAGGATTGGAACGAAAGGTTGTCATACGTTATATTCTGGTTTGAATAAAACTTTGCATAGTGAAATACCGACTACTCTGATATACGGAAGCTGTTACGTAAGCTGTGTGTTTATCTTTATGTTGGTGCTGCACGTTTAAGCGTAGTTCGCAATTTCCGCAAAGCGAGAGTCCAGCTTTGTTGCCTATCAAATCCTTCTTATTTGGTAGCGCGCTAGAACTTTCCGAAACTCAAGGCCAATGCGAAGGAGAATCATCATACGAAAACTTCACTTCGAGCTGTTCCCACCTTGCGCTCTGATTGGTTCGTGTTTTTCCATAAATAACACAAAAACGAAGCTTCAAACCCCACTTTTGCAAAGTGAAATCTTGTTCAGAATCACGTTAGCTACCCCCCATTTTCGGGACCTACACTAGCTATGACATCCTGTATACGAAAAACAATGAACAAACTTATTCCACAAACAAAATCCATACACGTCTAATGGCTATAAAGCCATGTTAGCCTTTCCAGTTTTGCGAAAATGTTCTCCGGCAAAGTGATTAGATTACTCGAACTCAACTCCAGATTCGTCAAAGACGCGAGATTATCAAATAACCCAGGTTTCAGTTGTTTATCTGTGAAATTGTTTATCTGCAAGCTTAACGAGCGCAATTTCGTCAGCGGATCAAATATGCCCGGCTCGAGGTGATTCATCATGCTACCACTCAAGACAAGTATTTGGAGATCTGGTGTATTATTAAAGATTCCCACAGTAAGGGATCAAATATGCCCGGCTCGAGATGATTCATCATGCTGCCACTCAAGACAAGTATTTCGAGATCTCGTGTATTATTAAAGATTCCCACAGGTAAACAGGCTTTATTATATTCCAAATAAAGCCGAAAAAGATATGGTACATCTGCGAATAGATCGGTGCTCAAATTTGAAAGATCGCTGCTTGATAACGTAAACCTTTGCAAGTTTGGAAACCCTTTCAAATGGTTTCTGACGATGGCACCGCTCCAATTATGCAGCTGTAACTCATAGATATTCTGTCCGTTGAATGTACTCGAAATTTCACTTATGCTCGAGTTCATTGACAGACCGCATTCCGATATATCCATGGACTTTATGTGCTCCTTCAGGAATAAGTTGAACAAGTAGATTGGGGGCCATTGTGGATAATTTTTACATTTAATCTAAATAATTGAGAATGTTTTTTTATTGAAACGGATAATATTAATCTTAGTAATTTGAATTGAATAGTGTTATTATAAGTATTATAGAAATATATGATGAAACACGGATTCTGTCAGGATTGGAACGAAAGGTTGTCACACGTTATATTCTGGTTTGAATAAAACTTTGCATAGTGAAATACCGACTACTCTGATATACGGAAGCTGTTACGTAAGCTGTCTGATATACGGAAGCTGTTACGTGTTACGTAAGCTGTGTGTTTATCTTTATGTTGGTGCTGCACGTTTAAGCGTAGTTCGCAATTTCCGCAAAGCGAGAGTCCAGCTTTGTTGCCTATCAAATCCTTTTTATTTGGTAGCGCGCTAGAACTTTCCGAAACTCAAGGCCAACGCGAAGGAGAATCATCGTACGAAAACTTCACATTGATCTGTTCCCAAACAAACTTATTCCACAAACAAAATCCATACACGTCTAATGGCTGTAAATACTCTGTAATCGCTACAGGAATCGTAAATATTGTTATCTTTTTTATATCGGGATACCTTTTTCAATGCAAGCGATACAATACCCACTCCAAGAATCTAGTAATAGAGCTATTTTGTCGTCAGTATTTCGGAGCTATACTTCTACATACATCCAAAACCACGTGTCGGTGATATTGGTATTTCAAACCCTACTATTGTAGAATGTTAAAATGAACTTATTAAATTTGGAGACTTTTTTTCGTTAAAGTAATCCCGACCCTGACAGAACCTCCATTTCTCTTCCTTACTGTATCGATTCAAGAATTGAAATTTTTCACTACTTAATGTACAATTTTGCGAAAGTGTATAATTTAGTATTTATACTTATGTTTACATGAATACTGGTATATTCAATAATTTCCACAAGGAAGCCTGAGTTGTTTCCTATGGGGCAGTTCCAAACTGCTTTACGCACTGGTTGGCATGGAAGTGCATTTGATTCACTGTATGTAGTGAGAATGATTGGAAAAATGATCCAAAACGTGCCAAGCATTTGATAAATCTTTATGTAAAAACGATACTTTCTGTAACAGAAAATTAGACGATCCCTTGCAAAATTTTGCATCTTATAAGTAAATTCTAAACTGTATTTCTGATTTACGTTGAAGATAGAGACAAATATGTACATACATATGCTGTCAACTTCAGAAGGTTGCAGCAAACAGTCATTCTTTATGAAAAAGTTATAAATAAAGGAAGATTGAAAAACATAGGTCACATAAATTACTTAAACTGGTCATATTAGGTTAGGTTAAGTTTGTTGACAAGCCTGGGACGGGGTGTGTGTTGCTGTATCATTGGATATAACCAATGTATTCAACACTGCCCTGGGCCGCCATCAGGGAGGCACTGGTTTACCACCGGGTGCCTCCCTACCTAAGGGCGATTATTGGGTCCTACCTGAAGGACAGGTTTATAGAGTATATGGGCCGGGACGGTTTCATCCCGAGGGAGGTGAAGCGTGGCGTGCCCCAGGGTTCCGCTTTGGGACCGGACTTGTGGAACCTGGGGTACGACCGCGTCCTGCGGGTCCCTCTCCCCGACGGCAGGTATATCATCTGCTACGCAGATGACGCGTTCATTCTTGCCGATGGGGAGACGTTTGAAAGGACCATCCGTCTGGCCGAGGTGGCTGTTGCCCCCGTCGTCGGACGGATCCACGAGTTGGGGTTGAGGATAGACCCCCATAAGACCGAGGCCATGTTTTTCCACAACAGGCCTCGGTCGCGGGGTCCTCCCCCCTCGTGGATCCGGGTGGGTGATGCCTGGGTCGAGGTCGGGGCCAGTATGAAGTATCAGGGCCTCGTCCTCGACAGCTACTGGCGCTTCGATCTCCATTTCGATCGCCTGGTTCCCCGAGTTGAGCGGGCAGCGGCCGCCCTTGGCCGCTTTATGCCCAATCTCGGCGGGCCGGAAGTGAGGGTTCGCCGCCTGTACGTGGGGGTGGTACGGTCCATGATTTTGTATGGATCAGTTGTTTGGGCGTCGGGCCTGGTGGTCAGCCGCCGCAGCTTGCAGCTTGTGCATCGTCTGCAGAGGCGGCTGGCCATCAGGGTCGTTAGGGGATACCGTACCATCTCCTACGGGGCGGCGATGGCTCTGGCGGGCCTTATACCGTTCGAGTACCTGGCAGGGGCTGATGCGCTCGTTTATACGCGCATTCGCGCCCTGCAGTGTCTCGACGGTGTCCCGCCGGAGCCGGAGGCGATCGATGAGATCAGGCGTCAGGCCCGACGACTGGTTGTTTCGTGTTGGAAAATGGATTTACGCACCTATTCCGGCAAGCCAGTCGTCGGGGTCCTCCTGCCACTATTTCATCAGTGGCGGGAGCGGCGACATGGTAAGATCACCTACCGTATGACACAGGTGCTCACCGGGCACGGCTGCTTCGGTGAGTTCCTGTGTCGAATAGGAAAGGAGACGACGGCGGCCTGCCACCATTGTGGGGAGGCTTCGGACACGGCGCAGCATACGCTGGAGGTGTGCCCCGCCTTTTCAGCGCTGCGCCGCGTCCTTATCCAGGATGTTGGTTATGACCTCTCGCTGCCAGCGTTAGTTGGGGCATCGCTGGCAAGCGAGAGATCCTGGAAGGCTGTGGCCTCCTTCTGCGAGCAAGTGATGCTGCAGAAGGAGGCCGCGGAGCGGGTTCGCGAAGAAGCGGACCCGCAGAGGAGGGGAAGAGGTCGCAGCCGTCGAGATGCGGCTGCTTCCAGCAGTTCAACTGCAGCTGTTCGGAGGAGCAGTCGGGGCCGTCGTGGGCCCCGGCTTGACTCCTCCATTTGAGGATTGCAGGCCGACGGCCCGTCGGTGTAATGCCGAGGGCCGTTGGTCTTTTTCAGGTCTCTGACCTGATGGGAGGCGGCGGCTCTGGGGAGGCCTTATGTCACCCCTTGCAGAGCCGCCGCGGGGGCAGTGGTGTCCTGGGTGGGGGCCCAGGACGCCCTGCACGCTGCCCCGGGGGGGACGGCGGTTGCCTCGGTGGTCCGGGCACTGCCGTAAAGATTAGATTAGATTAGCCTGTTTTGAAGGGGGGGAGGTCTTATGATCTTCCCCCGGGAAGGGCTCGAAAGAGCAAGGCGCGGGGGCCCCAGTTGTGTTCTTTAGAGTTCCTGGGGCCCCCTGTGCGTCATTGGAGGACCACCGTGGGGGTTTTAGTGGGTAAGAATCCCACATAACCCCGTGCCCTCCCCCAAGGGTGCGGGGTATCTTTGGAAGATTTCCCCCACGTTAAAAAAAAAAAAAAAAAAA